GGGCATGGCCACACCGCAATCCCTTCTCCTCCATTCTCTTCTCGGGATCTTGGACATGCACACACACGAGCCCAGCATGAGTTTAAGCAACTGGGTCTGGGAATCGAACCGTGGTTGATTACATGGGAGTCTAGCAACATAGCTATTACGCCAAGTGCTGGTCCCGGTCTTTTACCTATTTTTAAATCAGTATTTCAAAGTTTTGTTTTACTATTGCATTGTTTGAGTTCCTTATAAATTATGAATTTTAACCCCTTGTCAGATGTTTTCTCACATCTTGCAGGTTGCCTCTTCACTCTGATAATTGCTTCTTTTGTTGTGCAGAGGCTTTTGGTTTGATGTAGTACCATTGTTTATTTTTACTTTCATTCATTAAAAAAATGTACTTGACAAAAAAAAGAAAATGAATTTGTTTCTGGTATGAATCTTTGGCTTAGGACATTGACTGTTTTGGCACTTCCCTGGTAGATTTCCATGAGTGAAATCTTTGGTAGATGAGCTCTTTCCAACAGGGAACTCTGCCTGCAGCAACACTTTGTGTTGGGTACTCCTCATTGCAGAGATAGAACTTCTGTTAGTGAGAAGCTGCTAAACATTGAGATCTTTGCCTAATCAGCATTTTGGCCAGAAAAGGAGCAAAGGGAAAAGTGTTCTTTGAGGAAGACAGTATCAAACTTGACATTTAAAACAGAAGTCAGCAAATGATGGTCCATGGAGCAAATCCTGCCTCCTGCCAATTTTTGTAAATAAAGTTTTATTGGAACACAGCCTTGCTTGTTTACAGATGGTTAGTGGCTGCTTTGTCACTACAGTTTCAAAAGAGACCATGTGGCCCACACAGCCTAAAATATTTATTATCTGCCCCTTCACAGAAAAAGTTTTCCAAACACTTATCTGGATAGTCCAAAAGCTACCAGTCAGTTTTATCTTCACTTATCAAGGATCTTGACCTAAGCTAATCTCTAGGTTTCTTTCTATTGTGGTATATCTAGAAAGAAATGATTTTCTGTGAAAGAACAGAACACATGAGGGGTGATCGAGACCTGGATAGAAACATAATCCACTGAGATAGTGCTGATTTACAGGATAGAAAAATAGAAGTATAGTGCAAAGTTAGCAAGCCCAGAAGTCTACAGGAGCCACACAGATAACTGAAGTTACACTAGGCCAGCGGAGCTTTTGTGAACTAGAGAGCCTCTGTCCTCCTCGGGACAGTCACCTCCCAGTTCCAGCTGCTGCACTGCAAGATTGTGGATCCAGGGTTATCAGAGCCGCTGAACCTCCTAGAAAAGACCACCTACAAACCTACTTGTTTAGGGAAGTCTCTTAATATATAAATATGGAGGACCAGCAGGTGGCATAGTGAGGCCCTGGACACTCCCACATGGCCAAACTACAGTTCGAGTCTCGGACCTGGTGGCTTGCTTTCTCGCTTTCTCGCTTTCTCTCTCTCTCTCTCTCTCTCTCTCTCTCTGTGTGTGTGTGTGTGTGTGTGTGTGTGTGTGTGTGTGACTCTGGTAAAATTTTTAAAAAGAAATAATAAATAAAATTTGAAATATGCACGCACACACACACACACACACCAACTGGTTAAAACTTAAAATAAAAATAACAGAACATCTACACCAAAACCCATGCATGGATGATTATAGCAGACTTATTCATAATTGCCAAAAATTGGAAGGATGTAACCGAGATATCTTATCTTCATAAATCATAAAGACCACAGCACTAGAGAGAAATGAGCTATTAAGGCATAAAAAGACATGGAGAGGGACCAACAGTTGGCGTAGTGGCTCTGTCACTGGACTCCCATGTAGTTGACTACAGTTTGAATCCTGGACCCAGTGGTTTAAACTCACGCCAGGCATGTGCGCGTGCATGCCCAACATCCCGAAAGGAGAATGGAGGAGAAGGGATTGTGGCATGGCCAACCCTCGGGGGGTGATTTCTCACTTTCTATCTCTCTGTCTCT